CCCAGACATCGTCTTCTACCTCTCAGAGCACTTCTTGGAAAATTCTGCAAAATTGACAGGGACCTCTGGGTTTTTCTTCTTATGTTCTTTTCTGCACATCTGCACAAAGAAGGCATAAGCAGACATCTTGCCCTTTGGTTTCTTGGGGTCACCTTTAGCCATCTTGACTGTATTGTTCGCTAGTCTCTGCAGCCAATTTTATGTATAACATCTCTGCACTCAGAACCTGTGCTTTTCTAGAAAATGGGTGAACCTTACCAAAGATAACTTAGAATTTCAGTGGCCCACAGTAGGGAAGTTGTAACCTAGTTAAAATTGTTCACTTGCAAGGAGCATTAGAAAAGAAAAGATCCAAAATGCTTCATAAACAATGGGATGTATTTTTTAATTGGTACATAGAGGCATCTAAAAGATTAAATGAGTCAGAAATTGCATTTCTAACAGATTCCTTACGGAAAGCAAAAGAAAAGCTCAAGTAACAAACTAAGGACAATACAAAAAAGGACTATACCTTGACTGATTCAACCCTGCTCCCTAACCAATTTATTCATATGATATTGGGGTGTGGCGAAGCTTGAAAATGGATGATAACAACAGAATGGGAAAATCTTGATGAGATATTAAAGACCCCTCCCAAATCTCCTCAAGAGAGTCAAAGGGCACTAGAAAATTTGTTGAAAACTTTTTAAATTCAATTCCTAAGATTTTTCCACAAAAAATTCATTGGTCCATCATACAATATTGTAGACAAAAAAAGGATGAACTAGTTTCAGATTACAGGGCCCATTTATAAACACTATTTGTAAAACATTCTAGGCTCAAAATACACCAAGGGATATTTCTTGTAGGGCCTGAAACAGCACTAATTGCTCTATTTGCAAACAGGGTTTATCCTGAACTTAGTAACCTAATTAAAAATATAAACCAGGATGAAAAGTTACAGATATGATTAAATGGTGGCCATAGCTGAGTATTTTGAGAAGACTCTTGAGGAAGAAAAAGACCAAAAGGCTAGCAAACTTATGCCTCTTCAACTGCAATAACTGCAGAGACCAAGACCAAAAGGGACCTCCTCTCCTTATTTTAAACCACAACTAAGAGGTCCTAGACCAAGAAATTCTTTACCCCAAGGTGTCTGACTTCATTGCAGACAACCAGGACAATGGAAAAGAGATTTCCCATTCCTACATCTATCTATCAATAAGCCTTCCTCCTTTGGGCCAGAGTAGAGGGAGTCCACACGATTTTGACTCTAGAGATAATAATCAACATTTATAAGCCTCTAGGGATTCTCCAGCAAACTGCTCCCCATAGTATCTTTAAATAAACATGAAGAAACAAAAAATTAAATTAAATGGACATCTTATATAATTCTGGTGGATACCAGAGCCACTTTATTTACCATGAACCCCACCTTAATAAGCCAATAAATCCCTAAGAGTGAAAACATTTTTTGTGGTGGGGTTTCAAATCAAGTTCAAAAGGTTATCATAAGCTGAACCCATCTGAATGACACTGGGGACATTTTCAAAAAATCATACCTTCTTATTATGTGATACTGCCCCAGTAAATCTGCTGGGGTGCTATCTTCTAAGTGAAAAGTCATATAAAATTATCTTTCAAAGGAACATAATCTTAAGAGTTTCCTTACTCTCCTGAACCAGAACTGTTACATTCCCTATGAGCAGAAATTTAAAAAATATTGGTGGCATGACCATTCTAAAATTGCTAAAATGGTTTATAATCAATGTTTGGTTTGTCAAACCCATAATCCTAAAAAGACAATCAAAACTTTAGGTGGAAACATTTCTACCACCTGCAGGTCCATTTCAATATTTACAGACAGTTCATTTAACTGCCACCCTCAATGGGGTATCAATATCAACTGCTTCTTTTAGCAGTTTGTACGTTCTCTAGTTGGACAGATGCTTTCTCATGTAGGAAAGCCAATGCTATGACAATAAGTAGTTACTAGAAAATGTGTTTCCTTTATGGGTTTTCCCTGAAGAAATCTCCAGCAATAGAGGAACCCATTTCACTGGACAAATGATAAAACTGTTAATTAAACACTATAGTATTACTATTGTCCCTGTCACTCTCAATCTTCTGGAAAAGTCAAAGAACAAAGGGTATTTTAAAATGGAAATTAGTAAAGTTAACTGAATTGATTGGATTTGCCTTGCAAAGGTATTACCATTGGCCTTGATAGCAATCAGATCTACCACTATTGTCCACAATTCATTTCTTATGAAATAGTCACTGAAAAACCTATGCCTCTAATGACAGAACCTCACGTATCTGTATCTGATACGCTCTTATAAAGTCTGACACGACTAAATACTGCAGAGCTTTAATGCATTATGCCAAAATGTATTTTCACCAGACAAAAGAAGCCTTTCATGATCTACCAACTGAGGACAACCAACCTTTCACAAGGTTTGTGAGAGGCTGGGTCCTCTGAAAATATCAAAGACTGCCCTTAAACCATGCTGGAAGGGACCATACCAAGTTCTTCTTACCATCCATATGGTAGCAAAATTTCAGGGCCTTGAACCTTGGGCCCACATCTTACAACTCAAGAGGGCCCCTCTAGACTCTTGGAATTCCATACCCATTGAACACTTCAAAGTAAAGCTAAACAGGGAAGTTTCTCCCTAGAAGCAGATATCCTAGATGTGGACAACTTTCCCAAGACCATGGATCAAGATTTTTCTTCTTCTGTCATCATGAAAACTGTGTCCCCTTTTCTTTTTTCCTTGTTTCCTACTGTCCTAATCCTTCCCTTACAGGAAAATTCATGGGACCATAATTCGTGGATAGTTTTAGCTAAGGCTCATGCTCCAGCAAAAAAACAGAGCAACTGTTTGGGTTTGTGGGCTAATGCCTAAAAATCAGGAGACAATTCCACTAATGCCAATGATTCCACAAGTTCACAATGAGAATTACCCTCAAACCCCAAAGGAAAAGAAAGTATCCTTGATGTTCTAAACATCACTGCTATATTTGCTCACCTACCTTCGCTGAAAGCAAAATCCTAACCTTTCCAATTAATAACCTAAACACTAACAAATATAGAAAACTATCCAAGTTTGGTTTATTATGCTTCTAGGCATGATGTACTCAAGTTCTGGGGACTACATATGTGGACACTAGTGATTGACTGTATAATGTCACTGGATTAAATTTAGTAAGGCCCCTTTCCACTAAATGCAGTTATATACCCTTACAACGTGCTATAAAAGGACCACAAAAAAGTAAGTTTCCTATTGGACCTGTTCAGGAGCTATGCAGACCTACAAGTAGATGAATTTAATAGACCCATGCTCAAACACCAATAGGTGTCCCTCTTTGCCAACCCCCAAGGGCCTGCATTGGGTCTGCAGAGAATGTGCTAACTCCATTCTACCTCCCCACTAGTTAGGATCTTGCTATTTGATGTGGCTCACTCCTGCCTACCAAATAGCTTCCCCTAAAAATCCCCCCCAAATACCTCCCATCATCAAAGTCTAAATTGGTCACAATTGAAATTAGCACCAATTTTGGGCCCACATCTTACAACTCAAGAAATAGATAAAAATAAGCTAGTTCCCACTGAGGAAATATTTTTCTGGGGCTCCTGGGCACTCACTCTTAGTGGTAGTGGGGTGCTGGTTGTATGGAATTTAAAACTAACCTGTAAGTTGCAGAAAATCTTAGACTTTATGACCAACCAGACCTCCCAGGGGAAGAAGCTACCCTCCAAAAGTATTAACAAAAGCATTTAATGGGACAACATGAAGCCTTAGATCTCCTCTTTGCCCATGTTGGGGGCTTATGTGTGGTACTAAACTAACTGAATGTTAAATCTATTTTTCCCCTGAATTTGCTACTACAGAAAACATAATAAAAAAGGTAGCTGATACTGCTGTTTCTTTAGACACTGCCATCATACACTGCCATGCAATTTCTCAAGGGAAAGGAACACACGGTTTATAGGAGCAGCTAACAGTTGGTTTGCAGGCATCCTAAATGGTGGATGGGAAGCTTGGCTTTCCCAGTGTTTTCTAATCTTTATGTTTCTTCTAGCAGATCTCCAGGTTCCTGTGACTTTTGTTACTAGGCTAATGACAAAAAATGGACACTGCTTTAAGTGAGACCATTCCACAGCAAACCATGGTCCTTAATCACCATCACTTCCCAAACAAATCCTATAACCAATTGGACTCAAATACTGTTTAACTGTCCATATTTTCTGAACTTTGACTTGTTTGATTTTGATCAGTTTGGTTCTGTCAAGGTGGCTACTGTCAAGGAGTATACTTCAGTTTCTCGGTACTGTCCTGATAGTCACCATAATAGTCTCCCAGGTGTGCTGTATCCTCTGAAGAGTCTTAAAAGCTTTTATGCAGCCATCCATTGTGCGTTAGATGGTCCCACTGACCTGACGTCATGACTAGTGAATTCCATATGGAGACCAAACAAGTGCATTATAATGGTGACAGAGAGTGGCATCAATGCCCAGGGTTTGGGTCAATCTTTCAAGCTTGAGGAGCTGACCAAAAGAGGGGAACTGTTAAATTAAGTAAGCAGGAGGCCATTACTAAACACAACCTACCTTAATAGATAAACACACCAAAACCTAACTTAGGAGTGTATTTTTGTAACAAATAGCTGAGTCTTAGCCAAACACAAACCACTGAGCTTCAGCCAATCACAGCTAGCCAAGTGATCAGACCATGCCCAAATAAAACAAATGCCCAGCTATAATCAGTCAAGTTATTTCTGTATTTTACTTCCATGGTTAGCCTATAAAAGCACACTGTCCACACTGCAAAGCAGGTCTCTGAACCCCTTTCAGTTTAAAGTGCTGCCTGACTCACGAATCATTCTTTGTTCAAATAAACTCTGTTAAAATTGTCTAAAGGTTTTCTATTAACACATAAAAGCACCACAGGTACCAAAAATGCAAAAAAGCTAGTGAACCATACTCTTTTTCACAGAATTTGCAGGCAAATGTTACCTGTTTCTTTTCAGATAATTTATTTCACTATTTCTTTTTTTTACTTGCTGGACTGTCCAAAACTTCAATCTTGCCTTTTCCACCTTCAGAATTAGGAAGCTTAATGTTATCTATGGTGACTTCACGAGAGACGCTGTCTTCTTCATCCTCAGATTCTGAACTGTTCTCTGAGCTGTCTTGTGAACTCTCTTCCGAACTGTCCTCTTCTTTTGAATCTGACTGATTCATCTCAAACAAGGCCACATCCTGCAAAAAGTATCAGGCAGGAAACCTATTTTAGGACAGTTCTCTAAAAAGTTGTAATGAAACAACATTGGGAACAACCAACATTTAGTACGAATATTGAAATGTAAAGGACAAGAAATGTTTTTAATACAACATGAACTTTTATGATTTTAGTTGCCAGGGTCTACCATAATGATGATTTGCATTTACTACAAGTCTAAAAAATCTCCTACAGCCTAATTCTGTATATCCTGAACACATTTAACAACATTCATTCAACAAATATTAACATGAGTCAGGTACCACACTAGAGACTCAACCATAAAAAATTCAAAAAAAACCCTTGCCTTAGTAAAATTTACATTTTTGATTAGGGACCAATAAATTATAACCTGTAGGCCAAATCCTGCCTGCTGCCTTTTATTCAGCTCACAAACTAAGAATGGTTTTTAAGTGGTTGGGGGGGGGGCGGAATACCCCAAATAATACCATTTTATGAAATGTGAAAATTTCATGAAATTCAAATTTCAGTATCCATAAATAAAGTTTATAAGCCTTGCTTATTCATTTACGTATCGTTGATGGCTGCTTTCACACTACAATAGCAGAGCTGACCAGTCACAACAGAGACCCTGTGGCCCACTGAACCTAATGTATTTACTATCTGGTGGCCTCTTACAGAAAATGTTCACTGACCTCTGTTCTAGAGGAGAAAGAAAGACAATAAACAAATACAGAGCATGATGAAGGATAGTGAAAATAAAAAAAAAAATAAAGCAGGAAAAAGATCATAAAAGGCCATGAGGGAAGGCCCTGGATGAGGCGACAACTCAAAAGAGAGGGAGTCACAATGCAGAAATCTGGGGGAAAGCACTCTGTGTGAGAAAACTGCAAGGGAAAAGACCTAGAGCTAGAGGGCAATAAATGTACGAGACTGTGTAGGAGATAAGGTCAGATAGAGACCTAGAGGCAGGATCATATAGGCCCTCTGAAGGACTTACAATTTATTGAAAATGTGATGGGAAGCCCCCTGGTTCCTAAACTGTGCACCATACACACTGTATGAAGAATAGACACCAGGGAGAAAAGAGTGGAAGCAAGGAGACCTGTTAGGAAATTACTGCACTAGTCCTAAGGAAAGACCATAATTATTGATACTTGGACCAAGGAAGGTCCAAGGGAGTGGCAGAGGTTGTAAAAAGGGGTTGAATCTGGGATAATATTCTAGAGGTAGAACTGACCAGATCTGCTGATCAATTAGATATTACCATTAACAATGGTGTCAGATCTGTCCAAACACAAGTGTTATAAAGGGAATTCCAGTGTAGAAACAAGATATGAGTATAAATTGAGAGAAAATATTCCCACATAACTTATTGTAAACAATCAGTCTCTTAAACATATCATTTATTTATTTTTGCACACTCAATGAATCAGATGATAATTACCTATTTTGGGGCTTAGATGGGGAAAAAAATCCAGTTAGGACATTTAGTAAATTGATGCTTTAAGATAACAAATAAAATATTTGACTTGAAAAATTCCTCCCTGTGGTTCCATGTGACTAAATCCCTAAACTTCACCTAGGGAAGCTTACTGACCTATAAGGCCTCAATCATAAAATGACTATGTTCCTGTGCAATATTAGAAACATGAGCTAACACAAGGAAAATTAACACTTGAAAATAAAATGTAAGAGAGCTCTCTCTTCTTTTTCGGTGACAAGGCACACTGGTAATTTTATAGTATGAAACGAAAACAAAACATAGTTACCATTTGTATAACTTTTCCAAGAGTCCCATCAATATTTTCAATATTGAAATGACCAGGTGGTGCAGTTGCCATTTCTTTTCTTAGCTTTTCATTTGCCTGTGCCATCTGTGGGAGAAAAGTCTGTATTTTGTCCAATACTATGGAGAGAAAATACAGTATATCAACATTTACGCTAGTAAATTCTAAAATTCAGGATTTCCCGTAAAACACTTCTGAATTGAATAGTCATAACCATAATAAATCTTTCAAGTCCCTTCCATTATAAGAACCTCCATCCTCTTCTGAACTCTTCTGAACAAAGCAGGATTACACAATTGGGCAATTAATTATTTTTCAAATGTTTTATTTGTGTTTCTCATATATCCCCAGAACCGTAAACTCCTAGAAGGCTGACATTCAGCAAATATTAATAGTAACTGAATTAAGGAGGCATTATGACTTAATAGTTAAGTGCACCAGGATCTGAGGCTTTAGGGTAAGACTTAATTAACTTGGGCAAGTTAAGTTGTGGTTGTTTTTGCCTGTCCAACATCTGTTCCCTTTCTTTTGATAACACAACCCTGACTTTCCTTTTAAACTTGCATCACTCTTTGTCACTCCTGTCCCTCACCCCGTACATGCCTATGTATTCCACAACCTTGGCCACTGTAATTTGCTTCAGTGGCACACACAATGATGCATTGTTGTAGTTGGGCCAGTAAGAGATCATGCAGGGACTTTAGTTTGAAACTGTTGAGAGAGAAATCTGAGTGAATGACTGACTGAGCTGCTGAATATATGCCTCAAGCTGCTGATAAACCAACCAACACGCAACACCTGGGGGAAGAGCTTGCTCTAGGTTAGGCCAACACCTAGGAAAACAGAGCTAAGAGATACAGAGCAGCAGATCTCTGATGACACTGAGCACCGGAGTCCAGATTGTACCTGAAGTCACCGCCCCTGGGGTTTTTCCCCCAATAAAATGAGCCAACATAGTTTCTTTTTTTTGCTTAAGGAAATCTGAGCTGGATTTGAGTCATTTGCAACCAAGAGTCCTAATTAATACATTTAATTTCACCACTAAAAAACTCAGTTTACTCAAAAAGAGTGAAAGAGAGGTAATAATTGCCAGTCATTGTGCTAAGTACAGGGGAGTCAACAAACAAGGGATCTGTTTTTTTTCTTTATCACTCAAAAGAGGCCCAGCACATAACTATGTACATAATGGGCTCTCAAAACTTGTTAAGTCACTGCAATGGCTATATAACACATGACTGAAATGTCCAGAGTATAGAAGAAGAAGAAAAAAAAATGGAGGTATGGGTAAAGTAATGATCTTTAATTGTAAAATAAGTCTCCTGGAAGGACTCCATAAGAGCATGTACACATACAAAGCCTCACACAAAGTCTGATGCACACTAAACAGTGAATAAATGTTAGCTGTCATCCCCCTTCAGATACACAGAGAAATTACTGATAACGGTAAAGGTATTTCCATGTCTGGAGATTTAAATCTATTGCCATAGATAGAGAATCTTATTCTGCTTTTGTTTTTAATTAATGAATCAAGTGGAGCAAAACAAGTACCCACATGTGTGACCTAAACCGTGATTCTCAGAAGCCAAATATTTCTGTGGTATTCTAGAAGAGTATATGCCACATCCTAAAGTTAGGCCAGTTGTAGTTCTTTTAAATTAAATAAAACAAAATCCAGCGTACAACATAAAATCCAAAATGTCCAGCATCCAACAAAAAATTACCAAACATGCAAATAAACAGGAAAATATAATGTATAATGGAAAACAATAGAAGTAGATCCAGAAATGACATAGATGAGAGAATCAGCAATAAGAATATTAAAACAGCTATTATAAATATACTCCGTATGTTCAACAAAGCAAAGCAAAGCACAAACATAATAAGGAAAGAAATCAAAAATGTATTAACTATTGTCCAGGCCATTTTGAAAAAAAATGAAAGACATAAAAAATCTCAAATTGAACTTCTAGAGATGGAAACTATAATATCTACCTTGAAAAATATTTATTCTATCCTATGCACTGAATTTACAGTGTAAATCACAAGTCAGACTTGCTGTACTGGACTCTCTGTGGTTTGAAACCTGACTATAAAGGCAGAGATTATCCCATTAAATAACAGCTTAATTAGTCAAAATTTAGCATTAGAGAGCAAGAAAGGGAGAGAAGCACTTACAGGGACTCCTCTCCATCCGAACTGTTTGAAGAGTGGAGGTTTTTCTGGAATTAGGCTGAGAGTTGATGAGCAACCTGTCCCATATACCTGAAAACATACATATATTTAGTTTACTATAGCATAAAAAAATATGGGCCCATCAGCAAACCTCCCAAGCCTTAAGTCTTGACTGTTCACACTCTCTAAGATGACTTTTTAAAAAAGAGGCATTCAAAGTTCCATTACAACATTTTAGGTCACTGTCGGTATAGACACAGATACCCCAGCATATTTCACATCAGCTACTATAATTATTCCCATTTCTGTAGGTGTCACAGTTTTTAGCTGGTTACCAACACTACATGGAGGCAACGTTAAATGATCCCCCACTATACTGTGAGCCCCAGGGTTCATCTTTTTATTTCACGGTTAGAGGTTTAACAGGAATTGTATTAGCTAACTCATCATTAGATATTGTTCTTTATCACACATACTATGTCATAGTATTAACACATTTCCACTCTGTCATAGCAATAGGGGCAGTCTTTGCTATTATGGGCGACAGAACTCTGTGGCCTGGTTCCTAACAGGCCACCAGTCCGCAGCCAGGGGTGGGGACTGTAGCCCTACTCTACCTTCTCAGCCTTATCACTCACTACTCCTCAAATCAACCCAACTCTCCATCCCATCAGAGCTCCCAGAGCAGTACTTTCAAAACTCAAGGCGTTGCATACCCTGTTTCTAACTCCTGGAAAATCGCTTCGTTCTCTGGTTAAAAAAAAAAAAAAGCCTGTTCATCCTCAAAGCAGAGCTCAACAAACATCCGTTGAACGTTTAACATTTAAGGGCTACTGGATTAGTGTTCAGAGCAGACTCTGTGGCCAGAATGCTTGGATTCGGACTCCAGTTTTGCTACTTTCCAGCCACATAATCTCCAGAAAGTCACTTATCTGTATAACACACCATGCCTCAGCTTCCTCATCCGTAAAACGAAGATAACAGAACCTTCTGCAAAGGGTTGTGAAGATTAAATCCGTTCATTTCTGGGACATAGTAAGCACTACATAAGCTTTGGCTATCATTATTATAATTCCTTCGGAAGCTCTGGGTTCTCACAGAACCTTTTCTTCAAGCTAGTATTTACTGAGAACATACCCAAACTCTTTTACGCATCCTTCTCCACCTCACAAAAATGTTACAGGTACTACTAGCTCCGTTTTCCCAATTGGAAAACTGAGCCTTAGAGAATGTAAATAACTCTTAAGTCCCACAGTTAACTACTCATGGAGCTGGTATTCGAACCCATGCTTTTTACTTCTGTATTACAATGTCTGAAATGCTGAGTGAATCTCCTGGATGCATGTCTCCCCTCCACAAGAGAGGGGGGTGGTCTGTGTGCTTGCGAAGGAAGAGGGGGTGTCCGGCACAACATTCATCTGCTCCCCCTACCAGCCAACTACTCCGACCCAGAGAGTCGGCCCTAAGGCCCTCTCTTCCCTTCGAGAGTTCGGGAGAGTCCCAGGCTGGAGGGCAGAAGCTGTGCCTCGCAGCGGCGCTTGACAGAACCGGGGCCGATCACCTTGCGGAATGTAAGAACCTCCCGCTGGAGAAGCCGTCCCAGGCCGGCGGCCGGGTGTCCACCCCACAGCCCTCACCCTCCGCAGCGGCGGGGCCCGCTGGAGCCCTGCAGCTGTCCCCAGGGATCCTCTGGAGGATGTGGGGCCTGGGCTCCGAGCCGTGCGTCCCCCGCCGCACGTGCGCGGCCCACACCGCCGAACCGATCCGTCACCTCCGCGGACGTCGCTCCCCGCCGTCAGCAGCTCCTTGGACGCTGACACCCCCGAGCTGACCCGGGCGGATGAGGAACAGCTCGGCATGGCCTGAGGCTCGCCGTGGACCTCCATACCTCCCCCAAACCTCCTGAACCCGCAGAGCCAGTGTCGGACGCAGGAAACAGGATTAGGCAAGGGGGCGGGGCAAGGGCCGCGATTGGAGGAAACTTGGTGGTGGGCGGGGCGAGAGGCCGGGCGGGCAGGGCGAGCGCTGGCGCAGCAAACAGGCTGCCCGGGAGCTTCCGGTCATTTCTACCTGAGTAAAGGGAGGTTTAGACTCTTGAGATGCTGTCATTGGCAAAAAGCTGATGAGGCTTGATTTAGCTAAACAAATTCAGACATAAAGAGCATAGCATAGGCAGCTCCTCTTTATTTTGTTTTATTAAATTTATTTTTTAAGTTGTGGGAAAAAACGTACAAAATTTACCATTTTAATCATTTTTAATTATAAAATTCAGTAGTGTTAATTATGTTCACATTGTTGTGCCATAGATCTCTAGAACATTTTCATCTTTGAAAACTCAAACTCTGTAACCATTGAACTCCCCAATTCCTCCTCCCCCAGTCCCTGGTAATCACCATTGTACTTTCTGTGTCTAAGAGTTTTGACAAATGCAGATACTTCATATAAGTGGAATCATAGAGTACTGGTCTCTTATGATGGCTTATTTCACTTAAAATAATATCCTCAAGGTTTATCCATGTTGTAGTATGTAACAGGCTTCCTTTCTTTTTTAAGGTTGAATAATATTCCATTATATGTCTATACTACATTTTCTTTCCATTCATCTCTCAATAGACATTCAGATTGTTTCTACCCCTTGGCTATTGTGAACAATGTTGTATGAACATGGAGGTGCAAATATCTCTTCAAGACTCTGCTTTTCAGTTCTTTGGGATATATATCCAGAAGTGAGATTACCAGATAATATGGTAATTCTACTTTTTAACTTTTTGAGGAAGCTCCATACTGTCTTCCATAGCAGCTGATCTATTTTACATTCCCAACAGCAGTGCACAAGTGTTCCAGTTTCTCCACATCCTTTTCAATACATATTATTTTCTTTTCTGTTGTTTGTTTTTTTGACAGTGGACATCCCAATAGGTATGAGGTGATATCTTGTAGTTTTCATTTGCATTTTTCTAATGATTAGTGATGTTGAACATCTTTTCATGTACTTGTTGGCCAGTTGTATATCTTCTTTGGAGAAAATGTAACCAGCTCTATGAACAAATTTCCATGAAACCTATGTTTTTAAAATAATCCTCTCCCCTTCATATTTAGTTTTTCAGGCCAATAGGGCCTGATGATCAGAACCTTATAAATTTTAACTAACTACTTGACCTTTTTAGTTATTTCCCA